ACCATAAGTAAGATTAAATAAGTAATTACGAACTTGAATTCTTAACTACCAATAGATTATATATATATTAATCAAATAATGTGCACCCTAATAAATCAATCAACACAATCATATTCATATATCATAGAAAAACATAGAATACCCAAAAAGAATTAGTTTAGAAGTAGAACTCATTTAGATCTCACAACGTTTTAACCAAAGCTTTAACTTTTCCTTCAACAAAGAAAGAGTATTTTTTATCCGTAGCTCTTAGAATGAATAAATCCCTAAATTAAAACTCTAACTTCTCTATTTATAGCTAAAAATAGGGTTTTAACACACATATGGATGCCTCACATGGATATACGGCTTGGTCGCTTTAAGTGCATAGTTTGTTCTTTGGATATACATGGCTTGGAGCCTTGAACAGTTGGTGGTATATGATTGCTTAACCGAGGCACATGATTATGTCATATTTGCTCTTCATCTAGTGCCTCTCAGCCTTCTACCTTTATGGCATTAATTCTCTCTTGAGTGACGACTCAATGTTGACACACACACAAGCATGTCAATTCTACTACACAAGTCATGCTTATTTCTATTACTCATGTGTCTTCTTATGCTCAACAACCACACGACTTGCCCCTTGGTTCCATATAGCCAGCTTACTTTTTCCTCTTACAATACACATGACAGTGTGCCTCTTTCTTTTAACTTGGTTGTGCATATTCGTGGGCTTGGGCTTTTATGCATCTTGTTTTAGGTTTATTCATTTTGATTTTTTATTTTTCTTTTTAAACCTAAAATCATTATCTTGTTCTTAATTAGCTCAATACTATACATAAAGTACTAGTAAGTTTAATATAAAAGAAAATAAAAATTATGTAAATTATGCACTGATCAACCTAGGTGTTAGATTTAATGTTTGCCCATTATGATTCAATGCAAAAGTAAGATAAGATGTTGGCTATAATTTTAAAGTGTGATTTATGGATGATTTAGATTATAAACCCAAAGAGATTGTTTTGGGCTTACAAAATTGACAAAAAAAAAATACATGTAGTGAATTGCATGTTGGTTTTAGACAATTTGAGATTGAATGAGGTAATTTCTAAGTTAGAAAGTGAGAATTTGTACATCAAGAATGAGAATGAAGAATTGTTGATTGAAATGGAGACTATCGAGTTGATAATAATGTTTACAATCGGAAAATATTAGAGAAAGCGTTGCTACTACTAGAGATTGAAGATTTGAAATTAATTTGTAGTGATTTAATATTGTTTAGGAGTAGAATATATCTTTTTATAAATTTTTCTGGTATGATGTTTTTCATTGTGGTTGTAATGCTATGGGTTTGAATGAGTTTAATAATAATTTTGGAACTTGATTTTGTGAAATATAAATTGAAGCTCGTATTTAGATTGAAATATTGTAACCTTGTTAACTTTTTCAATACTTTGAATCTAGCAAAAATGTCATAATGCCAATGTGATAGTGTGTGCAAAGGGAATAGACAAAGAGATCATTGGAATAATGTGATTTTATTTGGATATCATTATATCGTGTTGCTTTGCTATTTGATAGTAAGCATTAGACAATCCCATACTTTGAATCTAGTAAAAAAGTTATAATGCCTAGACCGATATGGTTCTCTAAGATGCTCTTGAAAATGGAGCCCTTACTAACTTAAATTGGAAACAAATCATAGGCATGAAAATTATCCCTAGAGTGAATTTTTAACAATCCTTGGAATAACATTAGTATGTATTAGCATGAACAATATTGACCTTGAACAAGAAAATGACACCGATTATGTTGCTTGTAAATGATTATAAATGTATTTTAGAGGTTTATATAGAATCTAAATTACCATGATTCTAGCTTTGCATATATTTTGGTGGCTATAATGAGCACTTACATGTATGATAAGACTCTTGAAAGGAATTCATAAGGAATAAATGGCAAAAATATGATGTGGACATTAAAAATAACAAGCAATAAAATATCTATAGACATGAAAAAAAACTCTTTTTTTGCTAAAATATGATGATCCACCTCTACAGCTGGCAATTAATAATCATAATAAAGTTACAATGTAATGAATCCATGAAAAAAAAAAAGAATAACAAGACAAACTAACTAACTAACTATATATATATATAGCAAAAGTCTTTGAGTACAAGAACTTTCTATCAAGAAAGTTTTCACCTAATTCCATTTAAAGTTAACATAAAATATCCATTTTCTACAAATTTACTTCCATATATATTTGCTTAAAAATAATTATAAAAATATCAATAGTTTGATATATAAAACAAAATTCCCCTCAAAACATCAAGTTTTTTAACCACGTCTACTTGTTTTGGAACCACTAGCAAGCACTACTTTGTTTTACAATCCATGATCTTGTGAATCTCTTGACTTTGAAAGCATTTGATTTTGGTTACTTCTATTTTGGAATTTTTATGATTGTCTTTGAGACATTGGTGTCATATTTAGAGAAACCAAATTCAGTTACAAAACATTCAACTCCGTTAGAGGTTTTTCCCTTGTTTCTTTGTTGCAATAGCCTTCTACTTTTTTACAGCATCATTAACCTTCTTCTTGCCCTTATTAATCCTTAAAGTTGGACCACCACCATCATTAACTTTTTCTTTGCTCATCTTGCCAATAATATCATTTCTTTTTCTCTTAAGAGAAGATCTAACTCCAACTTCTAGTTTTTTTCTTCTCATAAATACGTAAATGATTTCAAATAAGATTATAAAAATAAACAAACATAACAAAAAATCAAATTATTTAAACCATGCAAGAATTTTTACATGACAATTCGAAATTATGTCAACTACAACAGAACTAAAGTATGAAGCATCTTTAATAGAGTCGTGTTCAACCATAACATCGACTATGTGCTATTTAGAGCTAGAAGCACCGTTAATATCCTATAAATAAGATTTAATCAACACCACTATATTATATGAGATGAAAAAAAGCTTAAAAACCCAATAGTTATACAAAACTATAAAATATTTACCTTTTTCTTCTCATGATTATTAGGGCATGTCAATGTGTCATGTCCTTTCTTGAAACAGATTTTATAATTCATTTTCCTTCCTCTTCTAGGCATGTTGATTCCATTTGATGATTTTCGTGATTCTAAAATTCTTTTCATTTTTTTCCTCCTAGGTGGTTTGATAATATTATGAGCCATGACCTTTGGTTTATCTATTCTAGGCCAATACTTCTCACCATTGGTAGGTTCAATTGATTTCATATATACGTTGAAAAAAAAATCTTTTGAATATTAAAGAAGAGCATACCTTTGCAACTACCATTTTCTAGCAACACAAATAATTATATCATGTGGACATGGTAACCTAGTCATCTCAAACACCCTAAACTTGCATTGTCTTTTCTCCATATGCACTATATATTTATCATTGTAATTGTATATGCTAATAACCTCATACTCATCATCACCATTATGCAACATCCAAAATTTTGTACTAAGATTTTTGTATTCTTCTATCTTATCCCAAATCCTAGCCCAAAGTTCCTCTTAAAGCTAACAATAAGCATTCTCTTAGCAATTATTCTTTTAACTACAAGTTATCAATATCCTCTAATAGTTTGACAATACTCTCGTGTCTTCCTTCCAAAATAAAACCATTCTAAGTTTCACATACATTATTATCAACTACATCGATTTAACATGAGTTTCATAGTATGCCTTATACAATTTTAAGGGATGCTCTTTTATGAAGTCTTTTAATATTACCTTATTATACTTCCCTAACTGCTTAAGATTCTCTTCTAAATTCACTACTATGCTTGATTTGACATATATCTAGAACTATTTCTTAGCATCTTTTCCATTATGTGCCTTCTTTCATTTTGTAAATATGTATCCGGCACACCACCTTTGTTTTGTTATAGGAACTAAATCATGTAGAGTAGCATATAATCCATATAAAAAAAAAAAACAATGTATTAAACTCACTTTAAAATTCTCAATATTGATATAGCACATTTAGTTTCCCTTTACCTATCTCGTTGTGAATGTCTATCCATATCCATTACAATATGCAATTCTAACATTTTTCATCAAATGACTAATAAACCATACCTAGTGCTTTCTTATTTTCCCACTTTATAATAGCCCAACATAAAGGATTTATATGATTATTTACATCTAGTTGACAAAATTTCTCCTTTTAAAGGACCCTTCAAGAATGAACCATCTAATCTAATAATTAGCCTACATCCAACTTTGAAGCCTTTTTTGATAGCATGAAAACACATATACATGTTTTGAAAACTATTCAAACTTTCCTAATCTTTTTTTGTCCGAAAAAGGACAGTATTATTGACATTATATCTCCTTAATTTAGCTACATAATCTTCAAGCCTTCGAAACTCATTATGTTTATCTCTAACATCGATTTATCAAGTTCTTAGCATGTCGGGCTTGTGAAATTATAATTTGCACTTTTAGATTTATCATAGTGTCTTGTACAATCTCATGTAACTTCTAATTTAATGCAGCTTTTTCAATCTTTTTCAAAAAAAATACTCTGTAATCACTTTGTAACTAACCCTAAAATTTATGAAAGATCAATGACATGTGTGCTCCTTATAATAGGTCTTCAATATCTTTTTTTTAACTTTTTCCATCAACGAAAATCAATAGCTTTTAAGGACAACTTTCATCTTTATAAATTATCTTATAACTATAGCTATCATACTTCGTAAGCCGCAAATCTCTCCTATAATGGATGTAAAACTTAATCACAGTAGCTTAACTTCCTTCTTGTTCTTAAAAATCAAGCAAAGCTGAAAATAAGGAACATCGGTTATTAAGTCATACCTAACCAATCCGGTTCTCTTTCTAATCCCGAGCTTCTTCATCATTGTTATATTCCACCATTTCTTCTATATTTCAATACTCTTTATTTAATTTAGCTTCTATTTTTCCCAACTACAATCTTAATTTCCTTCTTCTCAAAATTATTCTTTTTATTTCACCTAAATGCCCCTATAGTTCCCTCCACATTTCCGTCTAAATTTTCCTCAATGTTTTCCTTTAAATTTTCCTCTACATTTCTCTCTAAATTTCCCTCCATATTTCCCTCTAAATTTCCCTCTATAATTGCATTAACTTTACTTGAGACTACTTTTATCTTTTTAACTTTTTCTCTAACTTCTTTTGACTTCTCATAATCTAACATCCACTATACATCCTCCAATATTCAACATATTCAAAATCATCATATGGCTCTTCATTTGACTCTATAATAGTCTTTTTATTAACTTTTTGACTAAGCCCGCTTAACTGGACACCACTATGCTCACTAATATTCATAACACCATGCCCACCTATATGGACGAGTCTCTTTATTAGCATTCCGACTAACCTCAATTAACTAAAAACTACTACCCTCATCAGTATTCATTACATCATGCCTACTTATATGGACTTTGCTACCCTCACCTTATTCCATGACAATAGAATATCGACCGATATGGATAATACTATCCACAACACCGAACACATTTATTTCTTCAGTTATATCTTCATCTTCTTGCTTACAACTAGGCTTACCAATCCACTCGCCCATATTGATTGATTCCACACTTACTACATATAGCTTTGGGATTATCAAAACCAAGCAAGGAACATATTAACTCACTTTTCTTATAATATAAGTCAGCAATAATTCCATCACATAATATTTTAATTACAAATAAACAACTAACATCACCCTTTGCTTCCTTACAACTCTGTTTAAAAGTTAATTTTGGATTAATATCCCTATAAAACACTATCTTATACTTCTCATATCCATGTTCCTTAAGCATATCGAAAATCTTTTAAATTGTATTAAGTTAAGGTCTATATTTTCTCTCTTAATAACCTCCCATTCACTAATAGATAAACTAAACCCTCTTTGTAATTGAACCCTAAAATGATGCCTTAATTTAGACATTTCACCTTACATAACAATTAAGGAGACAAAAAGGCAAACAAAAAAGAAAAAAAGCACAAATTAGAGAATCTTAATATTGATAAAACATAAAAAAAAAAATACATAAAATCCATTCAATAAATAACAATATTGATAAAACCCATACAAAATTGAGTAAAAAATTGATAAAGCCAAGTAAGGTACTATTTTATGTAATTTCGTATTAAATAAAAAAAATCAAACTTTTACAAGCCCAAAACCCATTCAATAAATGGTAATATTCATAAAACCTATTAAAAATTCAATCAAAATGATAAAAGTGATAGTTTTTCAAAAATGATAACTTCAAATATTATAAAATTTCAAGATTGTTTACCTAATCAACCCTATACAAACAAATAAAAATGATAGAAAAGGATGCAACCAATATTGTCCTTGATCAAGATGAATAATAAGGGTTCTTCTTTGGATTGAAAAAGAAGAAGATGAAATAGAGTAGATGAAATAGACAAAAAAGTGAAGATGAAAAATGAAAAAGAAAGCATGAAAGATGAAGAGAAGATGAAACATACTAAGATTAAGAGGAAGAGGAAAATCAAGTAAACAAAGAGGAGCAGCATTTTCAATCGATGGTGTTTATTAGGTTTCTAATAAATCCGAATGTCTATTCATTTTTCATTTAGTTTAGGATTAAATGGGTTAGGTTAATTAGGTCTTTTTTCTTTTTTTATATTAAACTATTTTTTTTAATTTACAAAATTATTTAAATACTTTTTGTATTTTGATTTTCATTTATATTGAAATGATTATGGCTTATATTTCTACGTGTCTTTGTATGATTGACTACCGTTAGTTTTAACTTTCCACATAAGATGAATAATTAACAACATTATAATAAAGGATCTCAATCAATAAATTTATAAGAGTAAAAAGTTTTAAATAAGCTAAAAAATAATAAAGTGTCTCAATCAAAAAAATTTAAACTATGCAAGGACCAATTATGGAGCAAACCCTTTATTATGTTCTTACCGATTTTCATAGCAATGACAAATCTAGGTCAAAATCTAAAGACTAGAAGATCAACTCAGTTTATTTAAATTAAAAAGAGGATTTTTTTGTGTGCATAGCAAAAATTAAATGTAATTCAGAATTAAAAGAGGGAAAATTCAATTAAGAGAAACTTCAATTCAAGGAGAATTTTAAACATTTAATTTGCAAATTGATCATGGACACTTAAATTATTATCCTTTCATTAAATATTTAGCTTAGTTTTTCTTAGACCTTAGAATGCAATTGAATCTTTTATATAATCATTAATTCAAAAGACTCCTTATGAATTAAATTCTTATTATTGATTGAAGTTGGTATTAAATAATCCTAGTCTAATAAAAAATTGCATTACCAATTAAGAAGATAGCTAAGGTCTGAATAACGATATAGAACCCTTAAAATTTTTCAATTCATTAATTTATTTTCTATAGGTAGTAAAAAAAACTAAGATCATAATCATGGAAACCTAATTTGCTACTTTTACTAACATTTCATAATAATTACAAATTAAGAAAGCTAAGTTGGCTATCTATCACAATAGGCAATCAACTAATAAGTTTCTTAGACAATTATCTATACAATCATAATTAATTAAATATAGAGATCAATTATTTAGGTTTAAAGAAACAAAAGATACTTGAACATTAAGAATAGTCTTAAAGATCAAACCCATGTCTCACAATCCTTTACAAATTGAAACCGAAATCCCTTGAACCGAACTAAGAAAACTTGAAGTATAAACTCTAAAATATATATATAAAAGAAAAGTGTCACCCTAATATGTAGCCCTAAAGGGTATTTATAAATATAAAAAGATAAATATGATAGCTTTAAAGTCCTATTTAGGATTCCTTATGAAATTAATTAGGACTTGTAGCTGAATTGGTCTATAAGCTTTATGCTATAATTTCTAAAGTAATTTAAAGTCAAGACGTAGAATATTTTAGATTAGAGATCTTCATAGAAGTTGTAGCTCTAGATGTCTTATTTCTATAGGCGTTTGAATCATTTTAATCCACTATGTATATCTCTAGATATAGTCCAAAAAATAGTAAGTGTTTTGAACTATCATGGGACCCAAATTTACGTCCCGACTTTAAAACCAATTTTAATAGGACAAAACAAAATCGACTCGGGCATTTAACCCAAAATGAAAATCATAAAATTCTAGTTTAAGGAGGACTATTCTATGTTTTAAGGCTCTAAGAATGTGAAATTCTCATTTCTTGCTCGAAAGGTCTATGTAAGTAGTGGAATTTTGCCAACATTAACACACTTATACTCCTTTTCCCTTAATCTTCTCCCAAACCACAAAATAAATTTAATTCAACATATTTGACCTAAATGCAAATCCAAAAAACTAAATATAAGAGAATAAATATATTTAATAATGCTAACTATTAGGTAGTTTAATAACAAAAAATTATAAAAGTTAGGCAATTACATTTTTTTAAAGTATACACAATACATAAATTTAAAAAATAATATGCACATAATGTAACACTATATACTTGACTTTTTAAACATAAAAGAGATCTTTAATGATTTATATATATTATCATTCTAATCACTCACAATTTACAAATTAGTATATGTCACTAGTGATGTTTAATGACATAATTCTATATTTTTAAATCATATCTACTAAAATGGAACACATCAGCAATGATCATATATAGCCCCTTGCTAGAAGCCCGGGTGAATTGTAAATTTCAATAGGAGTTTCCTATCCTCAAAGTTTTTAACCATGCTAGAAGCCTCCATGATCATAGCCTTTTTCTTGTCAATGTCGAGTTAATAAAACGTAGAAACTGTTGCTTTAAATTTTATAAAATGTAGAAAATATATGACTCTTTTATGCCTATACTCAAGCGAATTTGGCAACATTCTAGCAATGGCCCTCTCTTGAAATGGTTTCAAAAGAAATTGTAAATACTAGTTAAGGCTTTCAAAGAATAGAATTGGAGGCACTTTAGTGACGTTCATCTAACTAGAAATAATATAGAAACTAAAATGCATAGTCTAGAAGTTGTATTACGAACTCAATAGATGCCACAGGATTCCGATGATTTCCATGCTATTAAGCTTGAGTTTGATTAAGCTATATTTAGAGAAGAAATGCTACTTAGGGAAAAACTTTGGAGCAAATAGATACATGAAGTAGATTACAACTTAACCTTTTTCCATGCCTCCCTCAAAGTACGAAGACAAAAGCCTACATTTAAGTTACAATTAGCAAATTATTAAAGTTTGATGAATTTAATCTTAAAATGAAGTATATTTAAGTTTTAATTTACGGATAAGTCCTTCATGATGAAATATTATAGGGTTCGATTTTGTCTAGCAAGCCACTAGGGCTTTTCGTGAGTACTTAATTTAAAAGGTGAATAATGAAATAAACAGAATCATATCAATTGGAAGAGACAAAATTCATTAAAAGAATAAATATCATAAATCGAATGATATGACACTTACATTATTAGCCATTGATATGTTTGATGCCATTCTAACATATCAACACTATTTAAAATATTAAGATAAATCTACTAGAAAAGCAGTAAAGGACTAATGCACTTTTTGCAAGAAAATAAGAACTAATTATTATAGGATAATCTAAAGGATTTAAATAAATTTATCTAAAAAGTCTTGTGTTGTTGATCGTGTGCCATTATGTTGGTCATTTCCCCTTAAATAGTTTTTTAACTAACAACTCGCTCTTCACTTAAATTCAAGCATGAAAAGTTACTAGTAAATGTTCCTTTATTTTCATTATGCTTATTGCCTTCGTCAAAACCGACCGAATGTAGAACCAAACGCATCGTTTTATTTAACTCTTAAAACTTCATTGAAACATGGTTGGTTATATGCCTAAACATATCATTTTACTTAGGACTTAAGGCTCTATCAAAACTTGGATTGTTAAAAAAAAAATGTATCATTTCATTGATGACTTAAGGTTTTATCAAAATTTGATTGGTGACAAGACCAAATGCATTGTTTCATTAAAGTACTAAAGCTTCATCGAAACTTGGTTGATGACAAGACCAAATGCATCATTTCATTAAAGTACTAAGGATTCATCGAAATTTGGTTGGTTATAATACCAAAATGCTCCGTTACATTTATGCCTTACTATTTTATCATAAAAAGACACCTCTTATGATCGATGCATGACTTTGATGTTTAAAGTGCTAACATATACCCCCATTTCATCCCTTTAGAGATGAAATGAAAAATTTCTTCCTCTAATAGGTAGAACACTAAATGCCGATGACATGATTAGATATCACATCATTTCATTTCTTGAACGACTACTCATAATTATTTTACTACCTCGATCACCCAACAAGTTGATGGCTTTTATCATACCTCTATATGAACCGTTGAATCTCGGAATTCAAACATTATAACCCTTAAAAAAATTATATAAAAGAAAAAATGACTTGTAATGCTTTCACTTTTACCGTAACCTACCTTCTTGCAAAAATCTTTACAAAATAAAAAAACCTTTTTTTCTCTTTACCATTCTATCAAACATCTTTTCTACCCCGTGTTAATTCCTTCCTTCCTTTCCATAACAATGGCTCTAAAAATTAATATCAAATCTTCAAAGAAATCTATCCAAGAGAAGATCACTTTTCAAAGGGATTGCTATCGACCGAATGAATCCTTCAGTCAACCCGAGTGTGATTGACTTGAATTTGTTCCAACCTATTACCAATAACAATGTTATCGATGTCCCGATTACACATAGAAAAGATCTAGAGAAGAGCTCTTGGTAGGCATTAGGTCCTTCTATCAATACTAAGATTGTTCATCTTGCCAACATGATCGACATGGCCTTCCCCAAGACTTATGATACTAGCTTTCTCTTCTCTCTAAAGTCTTATCTAGCTTCGTAAAATTGGACTCGGCTTACCAAAGCTTTTCTAGTTATTTGGCTGAAATCGGATGCCAAATATGAAGATTGGCTTAAAAGAATGCTTATTCCTTAGTTAGGCATAAATAAGATGTAATTAGAATTCGTAAGGCCATCATCTTGTCAACTCCGCTCTTAGATTGCCAATCTTGGTTTAATAATAACTATGGTTGCTTTTTGAAATTGTTGTATCAATTATTTTTAATTTTTAGAAAGACAAATGTCAATGACCTTACTTGATGTCTTAGCCATCACCTGTTTGTATCCGACTTGCCGGACTTTAGCCTTCAACACAAATGATGAAGACCTCAAAGTCTAAGAAAACGAGCTTTCTAAAGCTTATGGACATCTAGTCAATCATTATGGAAAAGGGATAGAAGTATCTCGTGATGAATCGATTGATTTCTATCTCTTATGGATCCGCAAAGGCATTGTTTGGTTGAAGTTAAACTTTGAGTAAGAGTTACCATGGGTCCACATCTTCTTGTTTATGCATAAGTAGGTCTTCGAGATACATCAATTAATAGGTTCAAGACCTTATCATGTCCTCTCTGGTTCATTTAGATATGGGGAAAAATTTATTTCTTAGCCTTGAGTTAACCTCACCTTGTTAAAGAAAACTTAGATAGCTATGGTCATTCCTTCATTCAAGATATACCGTTTCACCCTCCTTCACTTTCGAAACCTTTAAGGCACATTCTTGACTCTTAGTGTAAATGAATTAAGTCTAAAGACCGGATGCTCTTTCATACACACTCGATATAGGCCATTGTGGTTTTGATTAAACAAACTACTCGTAAGGTATAATTTTCTCCTTTTGAATAATCTATATGGAGCATAGTCTTAGTAAGTCGAGACTTGATTTACTCTTTAGGATATGTTGTGTTTTCTAAATCTTATAACCCTAGCGTCTATGCTCGATAATTTGGATTGATCTAAATAATGGCAGGACCATTTATTTTGACCATTAATCAGTTATGGCATAAGACAAGAGATAGTAGAAACTCCCTAGAATAGGTTGTCGAGAATGAGTCAATGGCTTATGCCATAGTTCAACACTTTAGTGATTATCACCTAAAAATTAGTGTAACTACCTCTTTCACCACAAAGTGTTCAACATTCTAGGAAAATAATTTTTCTATGGCCAACAAATAAAACTATTCTATGATATTAGCAATATATCAACTGTAAGAAAATCATCATCGACTAAGATTAAAATGTCTAAAAAATCTTATAAGTTATCCATTCTTCCTATCATTTTTGAATTTCATAAATCTTTCTTAATTTGCTCCTTTTTTCTTTTAAACATCTCATCTGCAAAAGAAAAGAAAGCTTGATTTGCCTTTTTCTTCCTCAAAAGAGTCATTAGGGAAAGAACCTTCCCCAAAAAGGCATCGACCATTGAAGAAGACTCTAACAATAGCTTTAAAACCTACTAGTTCGATATGGATCAAAGAGAGACCTCGTCATCCTCCATCATCGATGTATAGGGATGTTTTAAGGAATCTCAAAGCTAGAGAAACTCCTCTTCCTCTTTCCTCGATGTAGAAGGATGACTCATCAGCTGAAAGGACCCTTCATTCTTCAAGACGAAGGGTAGTTCGACGATTAGGAGTCCTTTTTCAAGGTAAAGGAGAAGCTTGACAAATTCTCCAACTAGGATTCTTCCCCTTCCTTCTTCTATGTAAAATGGTAAGAAATCATTGTACTCAACACCTCTTGATCTTGAGAACCTAACTATAAAGGAATAAGAAGAAGCCATGGTAGAAGAAGCAATAAGGATCCCTTCTTTTAATGATTTCATCTAAAATTCCTATGATGTTGACATCTAAAACACTAACTACTTCTATCACATATGAAAAGATTGGAAAGAGATTTTCGTCAATAGATGTCGAGTTAATCTTGATTTATGTATCAAGAGATAAAAGAAGTATCTTTTATTCTTTATATATTGCCAACATATCTAGGAGCCTACTAAGTTACACACATAAGTTTACACACATAAGTTTAAGCATTCACATAATAAAGGAGAAGCAAATATTTTAGAAAAAGGTTTTAAATTTTGAAAGTTTTCTATTTTAAAAAAAGTTTCCTAAAATGGAAGTTTCTTAAAATGGAAAGTTTTTTATTTTAGAAATCATTTTCATAATTTGGAAGTAAGTTACCTAAAACGACAATTAGTTTCCTAATTTAGGTTTAAGGATAATTTGAAAAATTATTTCCTAATGTGGACCTCCTAAAAATATCTAACTCAATTTACTTAGATAGTTCAAATTAATTGGTAATTGATTGGGTCAAAAGAGTTTGGGCCAAAAGGGTTTATTTTAAAATACTATAAGATATGTTACTAGGAGGATAAATATAAATCCTATTCAATAAGGATCTAGCTTTATAACGATAAGATCAAAAAGCTCACATGCATTATAACTTCTAATCTTTGGAGGACTAGAAAGGAACAACCTAAAATCCATTTTGGACTTGTTGTTGCCACTTGTCCTTAAACAACAAGGAAGAAACTCCCTCCTATAAATAATAGAGAGGTGTGGCGAGAGAGGGGGAAAATATTAAGGCATACACAACATAAAAGAAAAAAAGGATAAAATAGTTTTCTCTCTCCTAAAAACATGCCATCTCTCTCCCTCTCAATTAGGGTTATTGTAAACTATCTCCGAATGGATTTTTAAAGAGAACAAATGAAATAAGTTAGAAAAAGGTGGAGCTATCAATCTATAACTTCTAAGTACTTCTTGTATGGATGCTTGGACTGCATGGATTATTGATATAAGTCTGGACGTTTGGACTGGCTATTTTCTATAAAAGCTAAATCTATGCTATAAGAAGTAATCATTCACTCATGCTTTAATTCATATATGTATGATTAGTTGATTCAACAACTTGATGTTGGGAGCCTTAGATAAAGGGAAACTAATTATTTTATTTAGCATCTCTATAAGTTGCATGATCCTTCAACATTTAGTATTGAACTTACTATTGAGGAAACCTCCAATGTTAAGAGGGGTAAAGAAAACAAACTTTGATAAGCTATCTACTATTAATGAACTCTTGAGGGTTATAGAAGAAGTTGATATGTATGATCCTATAAAAGCAATAAAGATGTATCTATTGTTAGATGTGGTAATCCCTAGAAATTTAAGGTACTAGAGTTTACCAAGTATATAGACATTCGAGTCTCTAGTGACTCATATATGAGTGTACTATAATAAGATGGTCGAGGTTATGCATAACAAGAAATTGTTAATACATTTCTTCTATAAAAAATCCGAGTAAATCGGCTT